TTTTATAAACTATAAAAATACAATTTATTTAAGTTAAATATATTTGGGTTCTATTGGGAATATGTTTCTAGCCTTTGGGACCTGTAAAGAGAGCACATGCGTAGCTACAGGGCACATCACAAGTTGATAACTAAAATGTTTCTAATTATAATGAGTTGGCAATGGTTTGGGTATTGAAAACTATGCTTTTACAGTGGATGTGGTCAAAGGGGATTAGTTGTAATTGTTGAAGTTTACAGAGTTATGGCTGTAAAATAATAGTGTGCTATCTGTTTTAAAACCATAATGGAGGCCACAGCATTTATTTTTTTTAATTATTTTCTTTTCCTTGCCAAGTTCCTAAAAAGCATGGAACCAGAAATGAATAACTACTAGTGAGAATTTTCCCTCCAAGAATATTAATTTTTTGTAGTGCTTATTATCAAGCCTAACTACAACTCACATTATATCATGGAAATTATTTACTTTACACATTTTCTTGGAATGAAAAGTTTTAAAGCATAGAAATGCCTGAGCCTAAGCAATGGTATAAAATCAGATACAAGAAACATACAAAGAAATATGTTGGAGTGCCTTTTTTGTTTCAGTCTTCACAGAAAAGAAACATGAGCTCTAAAGAGAAGCTAACATTGGTTGGAATAGAAAAAGAACAAAATGAAAATTAGTTGGATGATTTATCTGTTTTTTACTTGATAAAATTTACTCGGTCTGCTGAGTAGGTTGGCCAAGTCTCTAGAGATTCATTCTGAAAACTTGAGAAAAATGACTCGCCAGACAACTGAGGAAGTAGTAAATATAATACCTGTCTTTAAAAAGGGAAAAAACAAAGGCCTAGAGACAAGTAACCACATCCTGAGAAAAAATATGGAAAAAGTAATTTTTAAATATATGTTTGTAAACACCTAAGAAATTACCAACCAAAATGAATTCATCAAAGAGAAGTAATACTAAACCAACCTAATTTTCAACTGTGACGAGATGAAAATCTTCATGTATAGGAGAGAAGCAGTAGATAATATAAATTTGGGAAAGATTTTTGAAACTGTCTCTAATGATATTCTCTTAAGATCAGCAAGCAAAAGCTAAGTGAAAGTCTTGCAGGCCATATGAAACTTGGAATAGTTGCAAGTATTTTGAAGGACTGAATAAGAACTCAAAACAACAAATTAGACAAATTATAAAATAAACAAGAGGCCACTTAACTGGGGCATGTGTAAAGTATGACATTTAATTGGTACTAATCAAATTCACAACTATAGAATGAGGAATGATTGTTTACGTTTCTTCTATGTATCTGAGGGTGGTGGATCACAAATCAAACATGAATAAGTATTATCATTTTACTGTTAAAAAAAAAAAGGAAAGATGTATGCATAAATGTATGACTATGCATATGTCCTTTGCAGGAAACATAAAATGTTCCTTCATGTATCAACACTGGTAAGATTTCAATAAGAGTATTATGGCCATGTGGTGGGCACAAGCAACAAGAGTATTCAAAGGTCTAGAAAACTTGAAAGCTTTAAGGAGAGCATTGAAAAACTGGGCTTGTTTAGAGAGCAAAAGTTGGTAGGTAGAGTGATAATAATTCCAGAATATATAAAAGGTTTCTGCAAAGAAAACAAAAATATCCCTTTTTCATGTTAGTTTACAGTTTAAACAAGAATTAGTGGACTCAAATTACAAGAAAGCCATTTAAATTCGATACTAGAAAAACTTTCCAATGTAGATAGTGGAATAGGTTACCCAGGAGATCATAATCTCATTTTTTCATAATGAGATTTTCAATCTCATAATCTCATAATCTCTCTCAAAATGAGATCAGAATCTCATTTTTTTTAGGTGTCTGAGAACAATCTTCTATCAAGAATAGCTTTCCTAACTAAGGTCAGTGGAGTACCCACAGTGGTCTGGCTTCCTTTCAGCCATATTGTCTACGACTACACATGGGCTCTTACCTCCCAGCCTGCAGCACGTGAAGAGTATGAAATTTTACATAGTTAATCTTGAGGGCCCATGGAAATAATATTTTTTATTGCAGTAGTATAGAAGTCCAATCACGGCCTGTGACTCTAATAGATAAACCTTGATGAGAATGCAAAATTTTTCGTGTCCTTGAAGGAGTCAGTTTCATTAGATGGTGAAAACATTGGAGTTTTAGGCTTCATACTGTGTGTCTCAATTTTTTTTTATACATTCATGCTCACTTTAATAATGACTCAAGAAAAGAATAATCAAATACATATTTTCACCCTTAAATCAAAGGCACTTTATTTAAATCCAGACTGTTTCAAAGTTCTGAAGTCCTTAGGACTTCTGCTTGTAGATCCATGTCATATGAGTTGGTGCTCTCATGCTGACCTTTGAAACGTGTGTCTACCTCACTAACACCTATAAAAAGATTCCTATTGCCTTCAGCAGGTTTCTGTCCAACTCATGAGAGAATCTCCTCCTGAGAAAATCTGTAAATAATCCTGAATAATTTGCAATCCAGACAAAAGCTAGTTCTGTGCTTGTAACTACCATGTAACTCCAGTGAAGTCTCCAGGATGTAAAGAGAGTAGCAAGGTAGATAAGTACCAAATTAGGTCCCTGTAACCCAAGGGGCAATAGATCAAGAGTATTAAATTAATTTGAAAGAAAAACAGCAATTAAAATGTCCTCTTCTCCCGCCAAATACTGCAGAGGTTAGAATATACAAAATTGTCACTGAAAATTCTACATTTTTCAACTTCCATATACACAAAACATACTCAGTGAGAATAAATCCAGGATCATTGGAGATGAGATCAAACTAATAATTGTTCCAAAGAGTTCAGCTACATTTGGCACCAATTAAATAGCATAACTAGGTATAATCAAACTAGTTACTGTGGATATAATGCAAATGTAGTAACATTTCTCCTCATGACCTCCTTTCAGCTGCCCCACTGGGGATATAATGGAATGTGAGATTGCAAAAAAACTTTACTAGAAAAAATTACTATATTTTCGTGAATTATATGAATACTTCTGTTACTTTAACTTAGGTGTTTTACTGAAGAGCAAAGTTTCTCCATCATTCAAATGCAAAACCTTAAAATGGGTTAATTCAGTGCAAGTTTCTTATTCAAACACTGTTCTCCTTCAGCTGCAAGTGTAATAATCAATTGAAATGATCTAATATGGTGTTATTATTACAAAGATAACATGACAAAAATTATGACAAAACATAACTCAGTTTAATCCATTTCAACATAAAAATCAATAATAGCATATGTCATGCCAGTACCTTGATTTTGGTTTTTTGTTGTTGTTGTTTTGGGGGGGGTTGGTGGGCTTTTTTTGTTACCGCTGTTATTAGAAATGGGCCCAGTCATGTTTTACTGGTGCCACAGTTTGGGTTACAGTAATTAATTTCTGTAGAAATAATTAACTAAATTCTTCTCATCGCTTTTTATATATCTTCATATCAAAATTTATGTAGTTTATATAAGTGTAGAATTTTAAGTATATTTAAAAATGCATCCAGGAAAGGCCACCTCTCCTTTCTTGACAATAAAAGGAGGTCTTTGATGTTAAATTCCCTAGTTTGATGTTCCCTCCTTCACACGCCTAAACTATGTCATCAGTTTATTTCCTCATAAAACCCAGCTATTATTTTTTCATGCTGGATTCACAGCCACTGCCCAGCTAACATCAAAGCTTATACTTCTAGTCACAGAATAAGTAACACCCTCACTCCTGAGTTGCGTAGATCTGTTCAATGGCCATACAGAATGCCTTTAGTATCATACATAAAGCAGCCATTTAAAAAAAAAAAAAAATTACAATGAAAGAACTTTCTCCTTACCTCCTCTACACACTAAAGTCCACGTGGTTCCACAGTCTGAACAGACTTAAGTAAATGAGAAAACATATGGATTTTCCAGTACTACCTTGCTCTGACAAAAAGCATGGAACATATTTAGGAGGAAATTATTGCTGTTCAGTTTTTTTAAACAGGTAGCAACCCATCAATGTTTTTCAGGCTGATCTATTTGTCACACTATTTGTTGGCTCAGTCTAGGATGTTCTTTACAATTTCTCAATGCTTTTGCACATCCTGTAATTTCCTCATTAGCGACCTCTGAGTTAGAAGGGCTATTGTTCTGACTACTTTAATATCTACTTTAATATCCAGAGCATTGTTGGAACCGGGCATACTACCTAGGTAAACCATTTAGAAGTTATTTGGTCAGAGCCATATTTATCCTGTATTTAGACACAATGCCCAAACACAGTCATTCAGTTACTCTAGTAATAGCTGAAAAGGGATCTCTAAAGTCACTATGTAAGTAGTAATAACTTCTACTCCTCCCAAATCAGTATGCTCTTGGGCAGAAAACAGAGAGAGGAAAAGCTCTGTCACCCATTATTGGCCCCTTGAGCCATCCAGTATCGCAGAAAGAGTTTGTTTTAAAGAAAAAAAAAATTAATCATATTTATTACAAACAGAGCAAAATGTTTCTGATACTTGAAAGACAAAGATAATGTGGCCGTTAGGGTTAGTCTTACTATATCCCAAAATGTCAACACACTTGCCAAAAGTGAATTTATCAGCTCAGTGCAGCCAAGAGATTTAGTTTATCTAAATGTCCTACAAGGAATAAATAGTTTACCACTGGTTTTGAAGATTGGAGGAAATGTAACATTCTATTGACATATGCTATAGATGTAATTTAATGCTGTGGTTCAGATGTATTTTCTGATAAATTTTAGTAAAATCTATGCTAAGAAAAATGGAGCTGTTTCAATATTTATGGGGTTTAAAATGCAGGGTTAGCAAAGGAAACATGTTAATTGAAACAATGTTTGTGTATATTCTTGCAATGGTTTAGAGAAGAATTTTGCTGAAGTTTGTTGGTCAGTTGGTTCCGAATATTAGAAGTTTAGTATTTTTCAGATTTATTGTCTTTTCTATAGTGAGTAAATCCTCTAATGAAGTGATTAAATGGCTCAATTTTTATTTTTAGGCATATTGGAGATAACATCTGTGGAAATTGGAGTTGTGGCAGTTAAGTCCATTAAGAGCAACTATTATTTAGCCATGAACAAGAAAGGAAAAGTCTACGGCTCTGTAAGTATTTGTTTACCTTCCAAATGGATTGCAGTAGTCAGCAGAGTTCCCTCTCCTACCCACTGAAAACCCCACATGTCTGTGTATTACTACTAATTAGCGCTGAAATGAGCTGTTAATCAAAATTTCATCCACTGGTAAACCAGCAGCCCCTTCCTCCACAGGCTTCCTGGTGTTTGTTAAGCTCATATCATACCAAAGCTAGGATTTATCATGCTTACTGCTTCAGTCAGGTTTCTTATTAAGAAGTAGTGGCCAATGCAGAACACCCCACAAAATGTAATCTTCAAGGCTATTTTTCCCTGGTTTTCTGCAGTACAGTCAATTTTGGAGTAATTTGAGGGGAAGAGGGAGAGAAAGTGTACCCGAAATCTTAGAAACCACAGCTGATGGAGCATACACACCAAATTATCAAACTGTGACTTCCAAGAGGAAGATTGCTAGAAAAGCCAGCTTTACATTGACTGTATTAATTAATATACAAGATTATGGGCAGTACAGAAAGCCATATCAGCAGATAAGCTTTGATTAAGCAGAATTTGGGTATCATTTGAAAATTGCCCATAGATATTCTATTTGTATTTGTGAAAGTTTGAGCTTACTATCAGGGGAAAAAACAAAATAAATAATAATAAAAAAAACCCCAACCCAATAAAACCCAGTAACTATCCAAATAGTTTTAACAGGAAGCAATATGATCTATAAATCTGACAACTACACTAAACTCAAGTGTACCCTCACACATCCACACGATTACACAAACACCAGATTGTTCTAGTATTACATCTGGTTTGGTTTGTAATGTTACAACTTTTTACCAGTTCCAGTGAGTTTGAGCCCACATAAATGTAAACATATTCAAGTACTCTGCAAAGGTTATGAGCCAATCTACAGATTGCTCAGTATTCAGAATATCCACAGGTTTTAAAGAGAGCAAGTCACAGATAGGTACTGGTGCTGTGTTATCCTTGGCCTCTGTTATCCTGTGTTATCCTCCTACCTCTGCTGAAAATAGTGAAGTAATGCCAGTCTCAACTGAGATTAAAGGGGCTTGAAGTCATTTGGCCCTCTTTTTAAGAAAGCATTTCTACAGAGTGGGTTTACTTCATACAAACTATATAAACTGTCCTCCCTCATCTGCATTGTGGCTAGTCATTCCTGGTGAGGCTACTTCTGACTTTCTAAACTCCTAGGCAGTGACTAAGAATCGCATTAAGGAAAGACCAGAACAGATAAATGTTTCTTAAACTCCTGTAAATTTGGATTTTAATTTCTGGAATTACATTGGTCATAAATACACGATAAGCAGTGCTCAGTCCTGCAAGATTGAGAGGCATAAGGGTATACTGAGTTGCTGACAAAGTTACCATTTGTCAGTTAAGCTACACTCATTGATCATGGGTATGCTTCTGTACATGTGTGAAGGTGTTAGCATACATCAGCATCTTCAATTCACACATCTCAGTTTACAGCATTTAATTTAGTCATTTTTGATGGTCTGTCCCAAAGCCTGAGATAAGTTTTCCTGCCCAAGTTGTTAGCCACAGCTGGTGTGGTGAGAGTCTATCCCAACCCTATATACACACAAATGAAGTCAAAAGCAGCCTTCATGTACCATAGGTGGAAACTGCTGCCATAAGATTCAGTAATTCATAATGTATTAGAAATAGTGTTGACAGGAGGATACGAATGTGGAAAGCCTTTTTTTAATTCCAGCTGAGATAATTTTTCAATATTCACATCATAAAATCACAACATAATGACTTATCAAAACCTATTCCATAATACTTCAGAGATTTCAAGAATGCTTCTGTTATTATTTTTCCCATCCTCCCAAGAATTGCAGTTAGACTCATATTACTACAGTGTGGCAGCTTGCAGATGGATATGAAAAACAGAACCAATAAAAATTTTAAAAACACTCTTAAGCATGTGCACAATAGACATTGGTGCAGGGTTATGCTGAAATTTGTTTGAAATGAGTAAAGCAGTCTTGGGCTAACACTCAGACCCCTGCCAACAAGACTTCTTAACAACATCACAACATCATCTGTTCTCTCTGTATTATCTAAGAATAGAGATAAAAGTTTGGATTCAAGTACAATTCTGCATCTGGGAAAACAAGTCAAGTAAGACCATTTCTATGTTTATCAAATACGTTTCCATTTGACTGACTTTGGTTAGAATGAGAGAGCAAAAGAAGACTCAGCATTTGGTTTCTTTAACAAAATAAGCTCCTGGCAGATAGGAGAAGTTACTGCAGTTTAGAACTGTGATTGATGGCCACCTGCCTTCTTAATACCTTGATGCCAGAGGTGGCAAATAAATATTAAATTTTATATATGTAGCTTTGTGAATACAGGCAGTATCAAGGGTCATTTTGTAGAGAATCTTCTCTTGCTAGTGTCTTCCCCAACATTCATTGCTCAACTAACTACTAATCCCAAAGTCAAAGAGCATTTTGGGAGCCAAATTGAGTTTGAATATGCACAATTATGTTAGGAAAACCTAAGCATATATTCTGTAGTCTTAGCAGCAAGTAAGTAAAACAATATTATAGACACAAAAATTCTTACTGTATCAAAGTACTGAATATTAACTAGTTTAAAAATTCTAATTTAAATTAATAGGAATGGAAAATATATTTTTTTTAATATTCTTATGTCCTTTTTTATTAATGTGGATACTTTCTCTATCTTTACTAGCTGAATATCTAAGAATTTTGAAGGTAATAAAAGATAAAACATCCCTGAAATTCTTATCTGTACCATGAAAACTGTTTTATGATTCAGACATATTTCTTGTCTTGTTCGCAGACATGTTAAAAATACCACATGTAGTTAGTATATTATACTCTGAGATTCCGACATGCTTCTGCCTGAGCTGTGAAATAACATTTTTTTTCTGAAATGCAGAAACAATAAAATGCTAATTTTTGGTTATAATTTAAGTATTCTGAAAATGTCCCACTTTCAAAAGCCTTCTAAATGGAATATAAGTAACTTGATAAAACTGG